TTGATGGTGTGTTTTTTTAACACCACACTCAGCAATAATCCAACTATATGGCTATGGTCTGTGAGCAATTAAGTCTGGACTAGACAATCCAGTGATCAAGAGCAGTTGGGATATGATAAAATGTGTCAACCAAGTCAGCGAGCCTGACCACCCGATCCCATTAGTCACCTCTTATGACAAGTATTGGTTGCTGAAAACTAACTCTAACCCGAATCATACCCACATACATACCCACATTTGTATAGCACCGATATCCAGCTGAGCTGCCTAAAGGCTCTTTGTTTTTCCCTTGACCACTGGATGTCAATCTCAACGGCAATCTAATGCATCAAATACAACTGTATGACAGTTCCGATCAAGAAAATGGCACAATGTGGAATAGACTCATCCTTGGTTACATTTCTGTATTCCGATTTTATCTAGGGTACGCATCTGTGGTACCTGTGCCGACGACCCCTACAGCTTAATTATAAGACAAGGCTGTCATGAAAAAATATTTTGAAAGATCAAACCAAATAACTCTGCTCAACAACAACCTCAAATAACCTTGGACAAGTTCTGAAAATACAACAACATGATATAATCATTTCCACTATTACTGTCCCTCCCTCGATTCTTTAAGATGGTGACACAACACTCAATACATGTTAATCTTTCTCCTGTGAATGTTATGAAGGCTGTCGGCTGGCCTTCAACAACATTACAGAAGTCTGTCAAGTAGTTGATGGTGTTTATTTCCAGTGATAGATTGCAGTAGGAGACACGGACTAATGGTGCCTGACCAGCCTGTTGACTCTCCTCTCCACTCCACCATTGTCATGGAGAGTCTCCAGGAATTAGGGTCACATCCCACCAGGCAGCTGGCAGCAGGACATGCTTCAAACCACAACATGGCTGCCTTCTTCTCGGTGGAATACAACTGTACAGATTGAACCACAATCAGAAATTTTAATTCTTGCTAGTGAATTTGTTCTGTTTTCACTACTTTGTCATTGTTGTCAATATTGCATCAACAACAGATGTGTGATCACTGAACTTTAAGACATATGTTAGAACAGTACATACCTTTGTTAGCGGATAAAACATGTTTTGAACATTAGCTCCACCTTTGACAGTTTGATGGAAGTGACATCTTGTGCTCAAGTGAAAATCTAGAAAGGCCAACATGTCACATCCCTCCTTCCACCTCCCCACCAGTAGCTGTGGCCTACACATGTCAATGGCCTACACATGGCTGTGGCCTACATGTAAAACATCACATGTCACACCCTCCTTCCATTCTGCTCTACCCCACCTTCAGTACATGTACATTTATATTGGCCTGCCACATGTGAGGGTACCTATACTCCTATACTGTACACCTTCTGACTAGTGGAAATATTAGACAGTTTGATGGAACATCCTCAAGTGTAAAACAATCATAAGGTAACATAACACTTGTGTCCTCCTTCCTTCCTACCCCCAGTCTGTCCCACACATGTCCACTCCTTCCACCTGTAGCTGTGGCCTACACATGTCACACCCTCCCTTCCACCTTCTCCTACCCCACCAGTAGCTGTGGCACATGTCACACCCTCCTTCCACCCCCTTGGCCTCCATGTCTCTTCCCTTCTACCCCACCAGTAGCTGTGGCCTGCCACATGTCACACCCTCCTTCCACCCTACCCCAGTGGCTGTGGCCTACACATGTCACACCCTCCTTCCACCTACCCACCAGTAGCTGTTCCATGTCACACCCTTCTCCCATCTTCTGCCTACCCCACCAGTAGCTGTGGCCTACACATGTCACACCCTCCTTCCACCTCCCCCAGTAGCTGTGGCCTCACATGTGTCACACCCTCCTCCACCTCCCCCACCAGTGGCCCTACACATGTCACATGGCCCTCCTTCCACCTTCCCCACCAATATCTGTGGCTACACATGTCACACCTCCTTCCACCTTCTGCCTACCCCACCAGTAGCTGTGGCCTACACATGTCACACCCACCTTCTACCTACCCAAACAGTAGCTGTGACCTACAAATGTCACACCCTCCTTCCACCTACCCCACCAGTAGCTGTGTAGCTGTGGCCTGTACATGTCACACCCTCCTTCCATCTTCAGCCTGTGGCTGTGGCCTACACATGTCACACCCTCCTTCCATCTTTCTGTAGCCTTCCTCACCAGTAGCTGTGGCTGTGGCCTACACATGTGTGCTTCCATCTTCTGCCTACCCCTCCAGTGTAGCTGTGTCCAGCTGTGTGCCTCACACATGTCACACCCTCCTTCCACCTCCCCAAAAGTAGCTGTGGCCTACACATGTCCAGCCCTTCCTTCCACCTCCCCAACCAGTAGCTGTGGCCACCGTGTCACACCCTCCTTCCACCTCCCCCACCAGTAGCTGTGACCTACACATGTCACACCCTCCTTCCACCTACCCCACCAGTAGCTGTGTAGCTGTGGCCTGTACATGTCAAACCCCCTCCTTCCATCTTCAGCCTACCCCAACAGTAGCTGTGTAGCTGTGGCCTACACGTGTCACACCCTCCTTCCATCTTCTGCCTACCCCACTAGTAGCTGTGTAGCTGTGGCCTGTACATGTCACACCCTCCTTCCATCTTGGCCATGTACCCTCCCCACCAGTCAGCTGTGGCCTACTACATGTCACACCCTCCTTCCATCTTCTCCCTTCCTCACCAGTAGCTGTGTGTGGCTGTGGCCTACACATGTCACACCTTCCACCTTCTGCCTTCCATCTGCACCCTCCTTCCATCTAGAAATCCTCTACTTAAATGTTCCTCTCAACGGTTGAATATATTATCTCAACAACTTAGGGGCAATTCAAGGCATGATTTAATATTTCCCCTGAAATTCTGAAGTCTTTTATCACAATAAAGTACATTAATGAGGGTGTTCCTCTAACTGCATGATGCTGCAGTCCTACTCCCCCTCACTATTCCATCATCTCCTGTCAGACCCACCGCCATCTTCTATGCAACATACACCGCCTGTAAGCAGGTAGATTAGATTGCTATTGATTATGGTGCTTCTAGCCATTATATCAGACAAATTTGGTGCTTCTGTTTCAATCTGCCACAACTACATCATTATTAGTGGAAGTATCTGACAGGTAATCGGGGGCAATTATCTCATACCTCGCCATTTACGACACTCACAACAAGTACATCTGTTAGCAGCAACAAAACCCCTGCTCTATCATGGTACAGGTACAAAAACAGCCATTTGGCAATTATGCAACTTTATGTTGACTATTGTCTATCACTTCAAGTTTTCAAATGATTTGGAGTTTCAACTATTTAAATTTTAAACGATCACTGCAATTAAAATACATATTTCACAATGGACCCCTTGTTTGGGTTTAGAATAATGATGTGAGAATTCTTTTCATGTAACTTCTTTGTATTCAATGAGCCAATTGCTCCTAAAGACATGCTGAACATTATGGGCCTGAGAACGTATACTATCATCTACCCATCATGACAACATTGACATTGGTCTGGATTCCACAAACCAAAGATGATTATGAATATCATGCCTTATATGGACAAGTTTCCCAGCATATTATGGATTATTCATGACCTACAGTTCATCCTTCCAGAAGATCAGCCATACAGTGAATGAGTGAGTGAGTTTTACGCCACACTCAGCAATATTCCAGCAATATGGCGGCCAGCCATACAGAAAATAACTGCAAGAACCTTTAGTGTCTACAGTTGTCGGACTTAGCCAACAAACACAGCAATAAGATGCTTTGGGGCAATGTTCTCTAGTCCTATATATATATGATACATATGTGATTCTTGTGCTGCACAAACACAGATACATATACTACCCCACTTATCATAGGAATATGGCATCATTCTATATGAGTATACTCTTGCAACAGAGTTGGATTCAGAATTATATTTCTTCAGACATCCAGGGTGTGGGCAACGTAGTGGACTAATGTAGTGCAAAGATGTCAGCAGTTGCTTCCCTTTGTCCTGTAAGGATCCTGAAGCTGGCTTTGAATCCTAGATGTATGGTGATTATGACAAGTATTTGTCAGCATTGGGAATCATTTGCAACCTAGTTCACTTCCCTCAACATACTTGCCTACTGCATCAAGTTTATGTCACAAATTAAACCCAACTTACTCACATATCTTCAGATGTAAATGTTGGTACTTTGTCTCAAATGCACAGCTGGTATTTTCTCCACATTTGATACTTGTAAGTCAGTTATTCCTCAATGCATGAACAATGAAACAGCATCTTTCTAAAGCTCAAATTAATTTGAACTGTAACAACAGTTACCCAGTTGCTTGCCAACTGAATGTCAGATAAAATCATCTTGCCTGGGTTTTAATGGCATCTCACCAAATTAATTCACTTTTGGTAAAATAAATTTGCAGCCAAGCTAACCCCTGTTTATCAGAAATTGTATGTCAATCACTGCCTTTGGAGTCATCAGTTAACAATGAATCATAGCATGGAAACACTAATGAACTGTGAAATCTACCAGTGCAAATTGCCAGTTTCGCTACAATGTTTCATGGAGAAAGATATTCTTTCTGCATTAATTACGGATGTTCGTCTCCAGTGAAATGGATGCCTCACGCAATAATCAAGTATAATCAGGGAGTCACTGAGAGCAAAAGGAAGCTGTAAACATTGTTTATTTCGATTAATTTTTATGGAAGAAAAGGGAAGCTGGTGCTTTATAAGCATCTGTCGTTCATCTGAAAATGTTTTAAGAAATTACTGTGTAAAATGTCTTTGTGCTTCAAACCTTCACATCAACACAATTGTCAGCAAATTCTCCATACCTGATATTACCTTAGATATCAGCATCACTATGGTTACAGACAATCAGGACTGGATGCTAAACACTAGACATAGTCATGATTTGACACCAGATATTTCAAGAGGTTAGAAACCATTGAAACTGTTGACATTTTCTGGAAATATTCCAGTATATGATCATCTAACCGAAAGTGTGTAAGGAAAGTAGTACCTACCTGTGGCTCACATTTCCTGTGACAAATATAGCGACAGACTGGAAAAGAAAACAAAAGAACAATTTAATACAAAAACATCGATTTAATTAAATGGACAATTCAGATCAGGGTTCAGTTCAGGTTTATAGTCTGGAATATAATGGCTACATTATATGGATGATGAAGCTGTATGTAAATTGGTCTTATTGACAAGAGAAAGAAGAGAGAATTATTGAAAGAGTTCAGCAATATTACTGTAGGAGATATTAAAACAGCTCCACACTGCATCCAAGCATTGAACCCAGATGTACAGCCTGATAGGCAGACACCATTTCACCAGCTCATGCAATGCCTTTGTTTTTGTTGCAGGATTCAGCTGACAGAAGATTAGAAAGTCTTGGACAACACTGCCAGTTTAAATCTTTCCACACAAAATTACCACAAAGTTCTGTGCTAATATATCTGTTGTACAGTTATTTCAAATGATTATGAGATTCCAACTGCCTCTGATTTTACCAGATCTGAGGTTGTTTGATTAGCAACTACTGGTATTTACTTTAAATGGCCACCATTAGACTGAGGAGTGAGTGAGTGAGGTGAGATGAGGTGAAATTGGGTTTAACGTCGTGCTTGAGAATATTTCGCTCATATGATGACGTGCATGCGTGTGTATGTGTATGTGCGGCTGCTTGTACTAGCCCACACTTAAGCTGGTTTTATAGTGCTAGCCCACTGAGATACCATGCCGCAGTGAAGCATGAATACCCCACTCAGACACATTATACTGACTCCGAGTCGACCAGTCCTTGTTATACCCATTAATGCCGAGAGCCAGGCAGGGACCAACAAGTACCATATTTTAACGTCTTTTGGTATGACGCGGTCGGTGATCGAACGTGTGACCTTCCGCGCTCTGGGCGGACGCTCTAACCACTACACCACGGAGGCGGTCAGTGAGTGAGTGAGTGAGCGAGCTAATGCTGTCAAGCCAAATACATGTAACATTTCACAGCGAACTGAAGCTGAAGTACTTAAAAGAATGTTATCTTTGAAAATGTTTCATTTGAAGCTCCTATTTTATCATCAAAATGAGTGAGTGAGTGAGTGAGTGAGTGAGTAAGTGAGTTTAGTTTTACACCACACTCAGCAATATTCCAGCTATATGGTGGCGGTCAGATTGAGGAATGAGTTTAATGCAGCTTCCAACAGTATGTCAGTCATACCACCCTGAGACAACATAGTGTGGAAGGAGTTTGATGCAGGTCATAACCCATGTTTATAGAATCCTGTCAAGGCAATGACATGCAACTTTTCACAGCAAACTGAAGCACTGAAAGTGATCTTAATACTTAAAAGAATGTTACCTTTGACAATGTTTCGTTTAAAAATCCTATTTTATCATTATCCCAAAACACATATACAAGACCTCTTGTCCTTGCAAAATTGCCTGTGGTGAGGATCCCATCAATATCATTTAACACTGATTGACTTAACCACAACTGTATTAACCTGGGATCAGAATAATAATGGCCTTATCCCCTAGTGTAACTTAACCCTGCTAGACACTGTACAGGCTCACCTGCCCATTACAAATACCCACAGGGAGATCTCATCATAATGCAGATCAATACCTCACCTCACCTGGACACCAGGTCCAAGTCACCTGAGGATAACAATCTGACAAGGTCGTTTAGGTCCGACAGGTGTTATAATCCACCAGGTGAGAATAGTGTACTGTCAGGATCCACACAACAGTAGTGTTATGTTCAACACATAGTCATTAGTAATAGAACACATTAGTCGGAGCCACAGGGTCAAGGGAATCGGCTTTACACTCATTAAAGGCTATACCTGATCCCAATGGTCAGGTCTAGCTGACGGACCATGACTTCTCTCAAAACACTTGTGCAGGGGCATCCCAAAATAATTGACATTTCTTTGCAGTTTCCTATTCCATTAAACAGATAATTGATCAATTACATCTTTAGAAGTGATTCTGATGAGAGTTAACTCCCTTCTAAATTCATAAGATTCATCTAAATACATCCACAACACTGAAATGTACACAAAAATAATGAAGGAATCAAAACTGTGAAGTATATTATACATTTCTCAACAAGACTGATACATACATTAGTTTATACTTTAGGTAATTAACAAATGTATCACACATTCTGAGATAGACTTGTTCTATGCTGTTTTCATATTTGCATCACCTATAAGATGACCCTATGATAAACCTATGCTTGTTGTAAGAGGGCGACCAACGGATCGGGTGGTCAGGCTAGGCTGACTTGGTTGACACATGTCATTGTATCCCAATTGCATAGATCGATGCTCATGCTGTTGATCACTGGATTGGCTGGAATATTGCTGAGTGCTGCGTAAAACTAAACTCACTCACTCACCTTCAAGATGTATACGATGAGTTTCTGTTAATGCTACAGTTGCTATGTATTTTTTTCTTTGTACAGTGCAGGGGTATTGAAGGAATGAGTCGACTTTATAACCACACATGAAAACAGATCTTAATCGTTTTTGAAAACATGCACCACTAAACTTGCCACTGACATTTCATGACTTATCACAATCTGAATCTTTTCACAAGAAATTCCAAAATTAAGTTAAAGTTATCAGTCCAGTTAAAAAGAAACCTTAATTCAGATTAATGTCCACATTTACGGTCTTTCAGAGATGTTGAAACCATCAATTTATACCTCAAATCTATGTAGTCTATCAATTTAAATTATTCATGATGTTTTATACATCGTACATTAGTGTACATGTATGTCTAAGTGTTACAGTTGATTTCCACTGCAATATGGCAGGCACTCATACTACAAGTCTCTGCACTTTGCCACACACTCGACTCGTTGTTTACCTGCGTTTACATGAGTGGGCGCTGGTCACCTGGTCAGTTCATTACCTCGGACAATACATGCTACCATGACGACCTAATTACTGTCCAGGTAGGGTGACCTTGTTTTATCAGGATACATGATTTATTTATGGCCCTGCAAGTCAAGGTGGGAAATGGACAATTTCTATCACACAGAAACAGGGATAAAAGTTGTTTGACAAGAACTGTTTGATGCTGAAAGTGATAATGGAAACATACAAATACAATTATCAGATTTATATGTGGATATTTTTTTAGTCACAGTTGTTGATAGGTTGGTTTAACAGAAACATTTTGATGCCTAAGGTGGTTTTGAAAACAAATACATACACCACATTTATATGTTTGTGTCACAGTTGGTGACAAGTTGAGTTTCATATTTCCAGCTTGATTTTTTTATTTGCAATTATATCAGAAAACAAATTCTTTTATCTATGAGGAAAAACAACCAGATTCATGTTGTCACAAATTAATGTTTACAAAATTGATGTGTGTGTGTGCATGTGTGCACGCACCTCTGTGCATGTTTCAATGCTTTTGATTGTCAAGATTTATCAGTTCCAGACGTTTTTCAGCCCACACATATTCTCTCTTCATGATTACACCCTGACCTACCGTATGGTGAACATGTATCTAAGTTATAACAGAGTTATCTCCCTTGAATATCCCTCTCACAAATCATTCCCAGGGAGGAAATGATTGTTAAAATACACTTTCACGGCGAAAAGAAAATATACTCACACTGACATAAAGCTAAAGAATATCACTCTGGACTTTTGAAACAACAGATTTATTCCAGTTCAATTTCCAGTTGTTACATTATCTAATTCATCAGATGTTATCATTCATTTTTATTCCATCACTGTTTTGGTCCCTAGTTTAAGTTAATCCCAAAACAACATATAAAACATTAAATTAAACATTCCAATCTTTTTAATTTTTCAAGGTGTTGGCTGAAATCATTATGATTCACATAAATACTATGATGTCATACAAGCCAAACTTGGCTCTACCTCACCACATTTTACGAGTGATTTGCTGAGAAAAACTTGTTTGAGTTAACGGTACTAGTTTGGTCAATATGTTCTTTCTTTGTAAGAAACAAATACAACATGAACCTGTTCACATAAATATTAGGAAAGAATTTGTATCAATCTTTCAGATTCAAATATTTAAGCCACAACAATAACAAACCATTATAAGATTCATTCACAGCAAAACATTATATGAAAATTGTCCTAAGCTAAGTATGTGTTTGAATTACTCGCCTATCTAAAATGAGCCATTAATATCTTGGATTGTCAACTTTTAAACATGCATCTAACGTTTGCTGAATTATTTTGTGGGTTTAGCTGAAATAAGAAAAAACCCCAAAATAGTTACCATAGTCAACTCTTGTGAGTCAAGGTGATTGAAGCATTCATTCATTATTTCACTAATTCATCTGAGAGTGTTCAAAAACTAAATGAGTATAAATTATTCTTTCTTGTATGTTTATTGTCAGTTTTGATCAGTCCAGTGTGAATGAAAATTAACTCTAGCAAGATTCTAACGGAACTGTCAGTTTTATAGGCTTGAGAGTTCTTGCTGTCTGCTGAATGTTAATCTGAAGTTGAATACAGGACACAGCGAATAATGATGCTGAGCCCAATGTGTAGTCAATTATATACATGATAATCTAATCATGTTGCATGGAGTGACGTAACAATGCAGGCCTCATCATCACCTGTGTTGCCCACCTCCACCTCCCTCTGGGACTTATAGCCTTTTAATGGACAACTTTCATCTCTGTCTGCTTCCATTAACAATACATTTAATCATTCTACTTCATTACAACATTTTCAAGAATTAATTTTCAATGTGTATTTTTAACCAAGGATTAATACTCATCACGGTGGCATTAAATGTCCAAACAAAAACTTGATATGCAATTAAATAAATGGAATAAATCAATTAACTTTTCACCTGAGGCATATTTCCAATCATATTTAAGTCCACTACATACAAAGGACATCAGATTCAGAAATAAGGACCGTTTTAGGTAATTATTTCCCCCACTTTCAAGACAAATTTCCTTATTATTGAACCAAGACAGGTGGAGTCAGTCCCATGCAGCTTTACTGCATTTCCAACTTGATGTCCACGTTCTTGTTTTATGTTCTAGTAACTGCTAACAAACACATAACCCAAAGACAACTTATTATCATTACTCAATAAACTTCTGCTAAAACCATTACAGTGTACATATGGCCTGACACTGTTGGGAGCCATGAGGCAACAACTACATGATACCTACCACAGAAAACCATGCCATAACTGTTTAACCTATTTTAAAGACAACTCATCATCATGTTTCTGTAATACATACTAAGTACTTGCTGATTAATTTTTGTCATATATTCTTTTTTTTTCGAATAGTTCAGTACAGACTGTAAAATATTTGTTATTCACGCACATGAGCACCTCTCAGCAGGACAAGCATAACGCAGTAATTTCTATGACAAAGCAGATGAACAGCTTCCCATCATAATGCCATCCCATGTGACCTACTTGTCTTGTCAACATCGAGATTCAATTTTCATTCAGTATGGGTCCTGTCACCTGTCATAAAAAATCTAATACATTTCTCTGACCCTACTTTACCTCCAGCATGGAAGTCCTATGAAACCGCTTCATTAATTCCCAAATTTGATTATTAGATCTCAGTTATTCCTCATCATGTTGAGTTGACTTAATCCAAATTAGATTTTTTATGATCGTGAAGTAGTTCGCACAACCATGCTGGCCTACTTTTGAGACCAGTCAATAAACATGAAGATTATTCTGTGGAGACTCGGAACATGCGCTGGGTAATCATGTCATACAATGTATGGCGGACAGGCCCCTGGGGGGATTAAGTCACCTGAAAAATTGACACCCGCTTATTTATAAAATGACCATATTTCTTTTTGTGTTGCCAAATATGTTATAACTAGGTTCCTTTTTCATTTCAAGCCTTTATGTATTCTGCCCAAGAAAAACCTTTATTTTTTACATTTCTTTTCCTTGTAGAACTCAGGTTTTACATCTTTTGTGGACTGCTGATTGATCAAATTGTTGATTTCAGTTAATTCAAGAACTATAATCTATTTTTTTTCAAAGAGAAAGCTTGCAGTAGCATCGCTTTGATACAATGACTAAGACATTAATTCACATCACAAATCAACAGTGTTGGCCCTCAAAGTAATCCAATCACTTAGCAGACGCACAAAATAAATTGGTTGATTGTCACAAATGATCTGTTTACACAAGTCAGCGATTAAAAGTAATCAACAAAATCGTAAATCACAAAATTATAATGTGAGCTGAAATGGGCGAGCACTCTTGTCAACTATAAATGTCACCGACAACTGGTGACCGATGGCCATACTGGCCACCCCAACAGATGACCAATAGATGCTCTCCATGCTTCAGTGCTCCGCAAATATTCCATCACTTGGAATGAATGGGAACATTGCATGCTGGTAGTTAGGAAGTGCTATCAGTGATGGGCTGGGTGGGAACGAGCCAATGACTTTGTTATGCTGACACTGCTGATGTAGTAACACAGAAATGAACATCAGTCCTTGAAAGGTAGATTTATTCCCTTCACTGCCACTTTTACAAGGTGACCAACAGGAAGTTATTCATGGTCCTGGGCTGGTAGTAGTCCTACATCATTCCTATAATGTATAGTATTCTGTTGAAAGGAACAACCCCAAACAATGTCTTTATTTGATTAAATTTCTCTTAAAAACCAATTGAAACCTAAAAATTGTATTTTTCAAATATTTGCTTAAAGGTTACATTATTGTCCTTGTGCTAAAATACTTATAATTTTGTTTGCATAGCTGTTTAGTTCAGTACAAGACAATAGTTTCAGCTTGTTACATAAAGCCACTTGAAATAGACATTAAAAACAATTTTAGAAAAACTGCTAACTTCTCCATCAATATTTCAAAACTTGATTCCTAATATTTAGCAGTAATAATTATTATTTGCATCCATTAATCATCCCCTACATGACCTGAACAAACTCCTATATGTTTTTTTTACAAATTAGACCTTCATAAATGTCATCATGTCAATCTTGGATTACCCGATAAAGAAATCAGCATTTCATCAACGTCCTTCCAACCCTTTTCTAATCTGTTTTGGCCCCTGAAAATCCCTTTTGTTCCCGGCATGGGTAATTTAACATTCATAAACTCACTCTCCATGTTTCTGCAAATATTTCAGAACAGAGGTGTAATTACATTAAGATAATTAGTGGGCAACTTCACAATTACATCATTGAATTACAGGGTTAGAGGTGAGCTGGGTCAAAGTTGGAGAGTAACGTCTGATGACTTAGGCTGATAATCCATCTGTCACTGAATTCCCGTCATCTTAATTGTGTGGTATCGCAGATAACCACTACCCTTATACACAACAAGATTTCATCAACAATATTGCTCAAACTGTAATGGAGTTCCACATTTGTTAGAACATATTTTATGAGGACTATTTTGGATAACAAAACATTTTCATTTCTGAAGCAGGACGTTTATTGTACAGTGTTTCTATGTCTCCTGTGAACAATACCTTGAGTGATGGACATATTTTGCTTTTCATGTCTGTATTGTATTGTGTGTTGTTACTGTGAAGTGAAATCTGAGGCAACAATACCATACTAGACCTTTAAAACTATTGTTTTTTTCAGCTAAGATATCAGTTTACTCTGGTAAAATATAGTGATATCTAGCACATGGGTTAGACACACAATCATTAGGTAGACCAAAATAGTCGTCAGGTATCAAGTTTGGTCTTAAGGTTTCCAGGACAGAACAACCAGAAATCAGAAAAGGATAATGAAACAAAGTTGTGTAAAATATATCAAATGAATGTTTTTTTGCTGGGAGCTGTATCAATATGGGTTCCAGTAATGCAACTGCACTTCATCTAGATTATCCTCCAACACAATCACGATAAATTATTGCCAATGCTAAGAATGCTCTTTACATACATTTTTCTTCAGGTATTGTATCTTGCACGAGCAGCAGGCAAAATCATCATGTGAAATAAAAGGCAGGCGGTTATGGAAGCTATCAAACAGCTCCATAAAATAGGAGACATAAAGACCCTTTCAATCTAATGTCTTAATAAGTGAGATGAGACATTGACATGGCCAGGTATATAGCCTTGTAACAGTCAGTGCACCCATACAGTTTGGGTTTTGTGTGTTTGTTGTTTAACGCTGAACTCTGCAATATTCCAGCGATATGACGGTGACTTGTAAATAATTGAGTCTGGGCCAGACAATCCAGTAATCAACATCATGACCTACGCAAATGGGATATGATGACATGTGTCAACCAAGTCAGCGAGTCGGAACACCTAATCCTCTTACACCAATCATGGGTTGCTGAAGACCAATTCTAACCCGGATCTTCATGGGTTGAACCCATATGGAGTCGTCTCCCTGAGTATAATATATGCCACTGTGTTTACCTGTTTTACAAAATGACATCTCTTATATGTACATGTATATGAAATATGTAAAAAGAAAAAGTGTACTTGCAGTGCCCTACATTGATTCACCGTTTACCTCATCACTTTCAATACTTCAGTACAACACAATTCTGTGAGGTGAGGTGAGGTGAGGTGAGGTGAGGTGAGGTGAGGTGAGGTGAGGTGAGATGGGGTTTAACATTGTACTTGAGAATATTTCACTCATATGACGACGTGCATGCGTGTGTATGTGTGGCTGCTTGCATTAGCCCAGACTTTAGCTGATTTCATAGTGCAAGCTCACTGAGATACCATGCTGCAGTTAAGCATGAATATTCCGAGCTGATCAGTCATTGTTGTACCCATTAATGCCGAGCGCCAGGCAGGGACCAACAAGTACCATATTTTAACGTCTTTTGGCGATAATGACACAAAAGGGGATCGAACCCACAATTCTGTGAGATGAAGAATGTTAATATAATCCATCACTGACCTTGACAGGCTGACCCCTGGTTACAGACGAGCTGCTTACACACATAGCATGTGTGAGGACGACGAAAGGCGTAGAGCTTGAACTGATGCCTCAGAACCTTGGGTTCTTCTGGCTGAAAACACAAAATATAACATACAGATGACCACAACTACATTGTACCACATTAAATGCTTCAACAATAAGTGGTATTCAGGTAGACAGAGCACCTGTGGTAAAGAAAAGGCCAATAACACAGCTCATGCATGCTTCCCATCATTACAGACACATGTCCGATCTAAACTGATGGCTAAAATAGATCATGCCATGCAAATCATTAGCAACCCTCAATTTGCATAAATTTCTTTTGTTTTAAAATTGAGTTTCACAATGATTTATGATCACAAAGACCCTTGAGTCAGGTGAGCCAAATAGTGACAGTGCACTGAAGCGAACAGAACCATCTATTTTTTTATGATTTCATTCTTCAGAAACCAAATATCAAGTGGAATAACCTTGTCGGCAAAGCATTGATTTGTTACACAACAGACATCGGTATAATGTGTGATCCCAATTTTGGGTGTTCCCAGCCATCTTATGGCCATAACATATTGCTAAAAGAGGTAGACACCTCACTCTCATTCTGAAGTCAGAACAATATGCTGATTTGCTAAGCGTGATATTACACAGATGTAATATCCCAGAATGTCAAGTATACATTCTATACCTGTACAAAAATAATTGAAATATCACTACTTGAAATATAGCAAATATTTTGTGTGCAACAATATTTCAGTTTTAATTACATGCTTCTCACTTTGGGAAGAATATATTCAAGATATTGTCGGAAACTGAAGAAACTGTCCACCTACTGCCCTGTTTCATTTTTCAGGCTAAATCAACATTTCACACTGCTTACAACTATAAACTTGGAAAATGCCTGCTACAATGTTGGACGTGGTCATCAAAGCAAGTTGTCTATATTTGGGTCAGAAGTACCACCAACATGAACACACACACACACACACACACACACACACACACACACACACCAACTAGCCCCATTGGTCAATAAAGTCAACATCCATTACTGCTTCTGTTGACCTCTCTGTGGAACTTATTGTACCACTTCAAGGACTTGCTTTAAGTGCTGCTCATACACTAGAAATGCATCTAGAGCCCAATTAGATGGGATACAGCCTCTGCAGGTAAACAGAATTCAGAAGATTTGTTAGACACATCAAACCTGAACCCATCAAACATTACACTGTCTAAATCACATTTTCTGGCATCAGAGAAGAATCTATATATTTCCCAACAATTCCATTTAGTACAATTTTGAGTATGTTTGATCTACTCAGTCCTGAAGCTTTACCAATTGTTGTGTCTATTTTCTGGATTTTCTTGGGATGTTCGAGGCACTAATTTGTTACAAGTGTTTTTAAGTTTTTGGTTTAAGCATAATTACTCCAACATTCTGTTAGAAACAAAATGGTGTAATTGATTTTCATAAGTTGCATCCACCATAAACATTTTTATCACTGTTTGATGTCTTTGAATTTAACACATAATCACTTATTATGTGCACCTCTACCAAACTCACTACACACATATCATATATGTTTATGAAACTTGTGTAATTGCCTATATTTCAGACCAACTCAACAATAATATTCTTTTCCACTAATTCTCATCCCAAAGTCACTGTGTTTGGTCTGTGAATGGTTGTTGTGCTAGTCACATCAGTAATGGAACTTTGAAGTTATCCCCACAAGAGAAAGGAAACACATCTAATCATAAGGGCTTCACACCTTCCTGTGTCATGAGGTACAAACTAATGTCTGTTTTCTCCCTGTGGCTTCATACATCATCCAGAAAATCTCTATGGGCATACCATCAAATAATTTGTGTTGAAGAAGATCAGTCTCTCCATTGACTGCCATGGAAGTGGTCTCAGAGCATCAGTGCCATCAGAGATGACCTTGCAGATACTCTGAGCTGCCCCAGCAGCTGCCGACCCTTCTGAGGTCACACATCTCATCTGCTGCATGAAGCAGTTAGATCCCAATGATGAAGCAAGTTAAGAACCTGCTGATAATGGTGTTGCTGAACCACAGGTGTAGAACCAACACCATCCTAATGAATCCAGTGTATTTTATCTCCATTGTAATAAACACGCTGGAGTCATCATCACTTTACCTTTCACACACTGTCTACTGCAATAAACACCCTGGACTCATCAGAACTTTACCTTTCATACATTGTCTACTGCAATAAACACACTGGAGTCATCATCACTTTACCTTTCACACATTGTCTACTGTAATAAACACCCTGGACCCATCACCACTTTACCTTTCACACACTGTCTACTGTAATAAACACACTGGAGTCATCATCACTTTACCTGTCACACATTGTCTACTGTAATAAACACCCTGGACTCATCAGAACTTTACCTTTCACACATTGTCTACTGCAATAAACACACTGGAGTCATCATCACTTTACCTTTCACACATTGTCTACTGTAATAAACACCCTGGACTCATCATCACTTTACCTTTCACACACTGTCTACTGTAATAAACACACTGGAGTCATCATCACTTTACCTGTCACACATTGTCTACTGTAATAAACACCCTGGACTCATCAGAACTTTACCTTTCACACATTGTCTACTGTAATAAACACACTGGAGTCATCATCACTTTACCTTTCACACATTGTCTACTGTAATAAACACCCTGGACTCATCATCACTTTACCTTTCACACACTGTCTACTGTAATAAACACACTGGAGTCATCATCACTTTACCTGTCACACATTGTCTACTGTAATAAACACCCTGGACTCATCAGAACTTTACCTTTCACACATTGTCTACTGCAATAAACACCCTGGAGTCATCATCACTTTACCTTTCACACATTGTTTCTCTGCAACTGATCAAAAGTCCTTTTCTTGATGTAAGTGTGGTACAGATCAACATTCAAACAAGATCAACCATTTATTAACACTTGTAATGAAATCAGAATACTGTTACAAATGGATATTCTTGTTTTCCTGAGTATTAACACTACTTATACCACAAGAAGTTAATATATGGACTCGTCCCCTGTTGAAGGTACTGGGTTTGTTTCTGAATTTTTATTTTTTCTGGGGTACATATCTGTAGTACCTGTGCCCGAAACGACCCCTTCAGCCCCATTTTGTATTTGAGATGCCAAACAGTGCAGCAGGTTCTGGACTTCTAATCTTCAGGTTGTGTCATTCACAATGGACCACAAGTGAAGCAGTGATGGCAAAGTGGTGTTGGGTAACTATCATAACTGACTTGAGGCATGTCTATTGTCAATTGATGACTCACAAAAGCCACTGTAACAATAACAATAGTACAATGCAAAGCCTAGATGACAAATTCAACAATATAATAGCAGTTGCTGTGATACAAGAATCGGAGTACTGTCAAAATTTTCTTTCCTTGTTACAGATAATAAATTACCTTAAACAGATCAATATACAAATTACTAAATGCCACAAGACTTTAGTTGGTCTCACAAAAAAATTGGATTTGTTCATTATTGTTGTTAGAATGGTGAACAACACAGGGATCACTAGTCAATGGGGTTCCCACTGGAGGACTTGATTACCTCCATCTCTGCCCCCTACCATACCATCACATCCACCCTTCCTCTACATCCTTACCATAGAACCACATCCACCAACATCCCTACCATAGAACCACATCCACCAACATCCCTACCATAAAACCTCATCCACCAACATCCCTACCATAGAACCACATCCACCAACATCCCTACCATAGAACTTTATCTACCAACATCCCTACCTTAGAACCACATCCACCAACATCCCTACCATAGAACCACATCTACCAACATCCCTACCATAGAACCTCATCCACCAACATCCCTACCATAGAACCACATCCACCAACATCCCTACCATAGAACCTTATCTACCAACATCCCTACACAGAACCTCATCCACCAACATCTCTACCATAGAACCACATCCACCAACATCCCTACCATAGAACCACATCCACCAACAACCCTACTATAGAACTTTATCTACCAACATCCCTACCATAAAACCACATCCACCAACATCCCTACCATAGAGCCTTATCTACCAACATCTGTACACAGAACCTCATCCACCCACATCCCTACCATAGAACCACATTCACCAACATCCCTACCATAGAACCTCATCCACCAACAACCACATCCACCAACATCCCTACCATATAGAACCTCATCCACCAACATCCCTACCATAGAACCACATCCACCAACATCCCTACCATGGAACTCATCCACCAACATCCCTACCATAGAACCACATCCACCCAACATCCCTACCATAGAACCTCATCCACCAACATCCCTACCATAAAACCTCATCCACCAACATCCCTACCATAGAACCTCATCCACCAACATCCCTACCATAGAACCACATCCACCAACATCCCTACCATAGAACCACATCCACCAACATCCCTACCATAGAACCACATCCACCAACATCCCTACCATAGAACCACATCCACCAACATCCCTACCATGGAACCACATCCACCAACATCCCTACCATGGAACCACATCCACCAACATCCCCATGCCTACCATAGAACCACATCCACCAACATCCCTACCATAGAACCACATCCACCAACATCCCTACCATAGAACCACATCCACCAACATCCCTACCATAGAACCTCATTCACCAACATCCCTGCCATAGAACCACATCCACCAACATCCCTACCATAGAACCACATCCACCCATATCCCTACCATAAAACCTCATCCACCAACATCCCTACCATAGAACCTCATCCACCCATATCCCTACCATAGAACCACATCCACCCATATCCCTACCATAAAACCTCATCCACCAACATCCTTACCATAGAACCTCATCCACCAACATCCCTACCATAGAACCACATCCACCCATATCCCTACCATAGAACCACATCCACCAACATCCCTACCATAGAACTTTATCTACCAACATCCCTACCATAGAACCACATCCACCAACATCCCTACCATAAAACCTCATTCACCAACATCCCTGCCATAGAAC